AGATTTTAATAAAACCTGGTATTCGCCTTAAAGGGATAGTTCACCCAAAAATGAAAATTTTGCTTTTCTCACCCTCCTGTATGGATTTCCTCCTTTTGTTGAACCCAAAAGGTATTTTGAAGAACGTTGGTAACCATACAATTGCTGGTAGCCATTGACTTCCATAGTTTGGACATTTTTTTTTTTTTTGGAAGTCAATGGCTACCAGCAGCAAACGTTCTTCAAAATATCATCTTTTGTGCTCAACAGCTGAGAGAAACTCTTACAGGTTTGCAACAACTTGAGGGTAATTCAAATTTATAGTAAATGATGATTAAAATTTTCATTTTTGGGTGAACTATCCCTTTAAGACTTGCATTTCTTAAAAATAGCCATTCTCCAAGTTTCATTTCTGCGAATTATTCATATGCCAGCTAACCTTGTTGCAACCCACATTACTCTCGACTTTACCAAAATTAGCTGTCATTTGTAATTTGGGTCGTCATTTTATTTCATATGCCTTAAAATTGTGTGTACATGCCTGTTTGAAGAGGACTGATTATATCGTAGCATTTCCGTTTCTTTAAAAAGGGAACCGCACAGATTCTGCAGGACAATATGGAGGGCAACACAAACACCCCTTGCGAATTGCAGCGTTTTAAGTCCCTCAAAAGCTCTGGTCTTAGTAAACGGTTTATGCTTCTTGTCCTTTCATTTGCTCTCTCACTGCCCTCTCTATACAGTTAGCTATTCTTTTTAATACAGCCTTCCAGTGCACCCACTCATACAGCCTCGATAAGGCTGTTATAGCCATTCATAGCCATGTGCGTTACTTTATAATGAATGCCTGAGATGTGTTATGACCTAGAGGGATGATTGTGTGTATGATTATTTTCGGTCATGCGTTGTTATTATGAATGGATATAACTGCCTCTGTGTCGCATTATGTAGGCTCTATGACTGGTGTAGAAAGTGTCATATGAATTCTGTGATGTAGTCTCCGAGCCTGCAGTGTCTTAATGAGAGATGCCTTTAAACCATTCTCCAGTGTTGTCCGCTTTAGTGTCATAAGTCGAATTCATGACCAGAAAATGATGAATTCTTTATTCTTTGCAAACAACAAATGTGCATTACCTTGCTTACTTAAATTTGTCATTCTGTGTTATAGAAGTTTTATTTTTCCCTGCTTGGTACAATAGCAGTTACCTCAGTTTTACTATTTATGTTTTTTCCCCTTATTCTTTTGCAACGCCAATAAGAGAGCTTATGAATTCTCTTGCGTTTGTTTATTGGTTGTTTTAGTTCTTACCATTAAAAATACAATTGTATCATTTAACTTGTTGTAGTTTCATATGTATAATATCTGTAACCAAAATCATTTGAAGGCTTGATATAAACATTTTTAACAAACATTTGTACATTTTTTTTTTTTTTGAGAGAGAGATATTACTAGTAATGCTTTACCAAGTAGTCCAAATGATTTCTTTTTCTTTGTCTCTGACCCCTATTCCCAGTCTTTTGGATTTTTAAGGGTGGCTCAGTAATAAATGTATAATGTTCTCTTCCTTGACCTTCTCTGTTCTTTACTTTTTCCGTCCATTCTCATCTCATCTTTTTTATCTTTGTTGTCTTCATTCTCATGTTCAAGTTTTACTGCTTAGTTAAAGGAATATTCCAACCCCTTCAAAAATGGAAAAATGCCATTTACACTGAAGAAAAAAAATCTCAAAACAGTTTTTAGGTAGAAATTGCTAATAAGTTTCACAATGAAGCATCATGAAATTCTGAAAAAGACTGAAATAATATTTTCTTATAAAACACTCCAGTAATCTTCGATTTATTTACAACCTCAAAAAAGTTGTTTACAGTGTACAAAATCTGTATGACATTCTACTGCAGGACATAAAAGAAACATTCATAGCTGAATGTCCAATTAAAGCCAATGCAGGATTTAAAAGGCAAGATTTCTGGAGAATATCAACTTCAAGACTTTGAATATGATCCACTTTCACTGTATGAAAAAGTGCAGCTCAGACATTCTGATAAACATCTGTTATGTTCAACAGTAGTAGTAAAGTGATATACTGTAGGTTTGGAGTGACATGAGGGTGAGCAAATTATGACAAATTGCATTTTGGGGTGAATTATCCCTTTAACTTGTCATAGGGATGTTCTGTATACACGCAGAAATGCATCCATAACATTTTAAAATGTCACACTCATCAGTAGATAATTAAATCCACCACTGGTATCAAGTTTGATTGGACAACAAAAGCTATAAAGCTGCTTTATACAGACGTTTTAAGTCTCTGATGCAGCATTTAATTTACTCCAAACCAAAATATTTGGTTGTGTCTGCAAGCAGTGTCTAGAGAGCAATCCAGTATGCTGCATCTTCTAGCCATTAGCTAAAGATGATATGTAACTACTCGGTCATATTGAAAATGCTTTCAATTGTTAATCAAGTTCTATAATCTCATTTGAGCTCTATATGCTTGGAAGACTGCATCACGAAAGCAGCATGAATTTTGCAACAGTTGATTCTCTGTGGTTGCAGCCAAAACAAAGCCCCAAAGTTGGAGTCTCTTTAATTCTAGTTAGATGCGGATCTATGGAATAATTACAGGCAGCAGAAAACAAAGGGAAACAGTTGCATAAATTCTGATACATCAAAAACCAGCATATAGTTGCCCTGCCATAGTCCAGTCTTTTGTCCAGAACTTGTTTCTGGATGTAGGTGTTGTCTTTATTCTCTCCTGTATCTCTTATCTTCATCTTTAATATCAAGGAAGGAAGGAACATTTGTTTACTCTCACTCAGTGATACAGCACCGGATGTGATATTGAAAGTGTAGAAATGGCAAATGCTAATTGAAAACAGTAACTGTGAACTGGGAAAAATGGCACACAACGTTCACAAGACAATGCGCACAGAAAGTCTTGCTCACAAGGTAACAAGGTTGATATAAGGGGCTCCGTAATATAATGACTACCTCTGACTCAGAGGAAGAAATTTCACTGGATTTCCGTAATGTTTGCAAGATTTGTGGCATTGCCTGAGGCATGCAGGCCTGATAGCAGGGTTGCAACTCCAGATAAATGGTATTTTACACCTCACTGATAAAGAAACGATTGCTTATCAAATAATACAATTCAAAAATAGTATCTACTGTGACTGCGTTTATTGTTTGTCCCTGTGCTTGTTCGTATAAAAATTAATTTGTAACATAGGGATAGCACACATGATGTCAAAACAATATTCATAACATACAGTAAATAAAAGTTATTGACTACAACAGCTTGTTTGTCTGTTGTAGTCAATAAACAGATAATATTGCTATATAGAATAAGGGATTCCCATGAGAAAAAAAAAGTCCTTCCTGCAGAGGGTGCATGGCGACTAAGAGAGAAAAAATGGGACTCAGCCAGCCAAAGCTGGAGTGCAATGACACCTATTGGTAATAATATTTCAGTCCTGATTCTGGGGACATACAGCCCTGCATATTTGGTATCCCTCTTTAATCTGACACATTCAGTTCAGCTCATGAAGAAGCCTTATCTCAATCAGATGTTGAATAAAGGACACATACAAATGCACATACATGTGCAGAGTTCTGGGTCCCCAGGAATAATGCTGTAATATTTTTTTGTAATGATATTCATAATTCTGAACAAACCCCTAATTGAAGACACATTTAAACGTCACACACAGATTTGGAAGCTGCTTGGTTTGAAAGTGACTTCAGTGTGAGCTGTGTTTCATATATCACTACACTATTAGCAATGGGCCTCATTTTGCCTGTGAAGTTTCACTAATGTGACTGCACCTGTAAAAATGGCACACTGTACAAAGGTCAGAAATGAACCATGGGGCAAAAATACCACAGACATTTCAAATACTGGGGGAGGAATAATGCCAAATATAGTGCACTACATTCTTTAGATTTTTTAAATCTGTTCTCGAAATATTTAATGTATTGCGCTTTATTCTAGTCCTGTATCTAGACATGCTAATATATTAAATGTATTCTAGCAGAGTGTTTATTGTCTTTTGATACATAATAAATTATTAATGGCGACTATATGTGATGATTTGATTTTATAGGTAACATTAATTGAGTAGCTATTTATTTCAATTAATTGATTCAAGGGTCAAGTATTTGATATACACTATGCTTCAAAAGGTTCTTCAAGCGATGCCATAGAAGAACCATTTTTGGTTCCACAAAGAACCATTCAGTCAAAGGTTATTTAAAGAACCATCTCTTTCTTACCTTTTTGTAATCTGAAGAACCTTCTTTTGCCACAAAGAACCTTTTGTGAAACAGAAAGGTTCTTCAGATGTCAAAGGTTCTTTATGGAACCATTTAGAAAAAAAGGTTCTTCTATGGCATTGTGAAGCACCTTTATTTTTAAGAGTGTAGATGAATAATATAAGGTTTGATTTTATATGGTTAGATATAAAGTCCTCAAGGTAAAAAAAAAAAATGAATCCGTAATAAATTTCAGAGGACAATTAAAGCCTTTTATAACATTTCTCACACTGTACTGAGCACAGAAACAGTCTTTTCTGTTCATCCATTCCAATTGCATAATTCTAGAAATCTCTGTCTCCCTCTATCCATGGGTTTACAACTTTTTCCAATTATGAATCAACCTAAAATTCGTGCAATGTTTTTGTATTTTCTTCAGGAAACGCAAATCTAGTTTTACTTTATATTAATAGACTTATTGAAATAGAGGGTGAAAGGCAATATATAGTTATGTTCAGTGTTGGGGAAAGTTACTTTTAAAAGTAATGCATTACAATATTGCGTTACTCCATAAAAAAGTAACTACATTACTTAGTTATGAAAAAGTAACTCAGATATTCTCTTGTAAATGAAAACGTAATGCGTTACTTTACTAGTTACCTGAAAAAAAGTAATCTGATTACGTAACTCGCGTTACTTGTAATGCGTTACCCCCAACACTGGTTATGTTTAATAAAATATAGAGAGCGAGCGCGAGAAAGAGAGACAGATGTCTGGCCGTAACTGGAGCGGTAACGGAACTGCTCTATTGTTCTCGTTAAATTCCTTTCCCCCGCGCTCTCGCGCATGCCAAGTCTCCCGTTCTGTAGGAGAAGAGACAGGGAGGCTGATGCGCTCGCCTGGCTGGGCTCTACGCATTGGCTGAACGGAGACCTCTGGTGTTTTTTTAGCTTATATATTTAGCAGCGGAGGTCGGACTCGTATTGCATCGCACGTGGTTCATCTGCAGTGCTGCTGCGCGCTGGAGAACCGCAGTGTGTTGCGTTGTGAACGCTCGAGCTCCGCATACTGAACGTGCCCGCCGCAGCGGCGAATGCGCTCAAGCAAACACGCAGTTCTGTCTGTTTGCGGAGCGCTGGATATCTCATCTAGGCTTTCTTGTTAAGTCCTTTTTTTTTTTTTTTTTTTTGAAAATGGCCCGAGTCCCGGAGACGATTCGGCTTCAAATGCTCAGCTGGATCAAGCTGAATCTGCTGACGCTACGCCAGAACCAGCGTTTCAAGAAGCTCAAAAATGGATCGAGGTGAGCTACCCGTCCATACATGCGCGCAGAGGTGGAAGTAAACATTTCTTTCGCATCATCTTAAGGTTTGTTTCGGCATTCATATAAAGAGGTTACATTACGCTCTGAACAGCTTATAAATATTGTACCGTCACCTGTTGTGAGCGTGTGGAGCGTCTTTGGTTACGACAGCGCGGGATTCGGGCGCTGTAATCGGACTAGCGGCTTTGATGGCTCACCGATTTTTTTTTACACTCACTCACATGACGGCCATCAGCCTATTTTAAATTTGCTGCTAGATTTTAGAATGCAGATCGCCAATCGAGTGGACGCTTTTCCAAACAAAATATGGTTCATTTTGAAGACGTGCAGAAACAGAAGGATGCACTCATAATAGTCTGCGAGCGGACACGCCCCCATTTGCTAAGAGAGTCCAGTTGTTGTCAATAATATCTCGTTGTTGTGGAAGCCAGGAGACACGCCCCCTTTGTCCTACAGTCCACGCCCCTTTCCCGAGCGAGGCCTGTCGTCAGGGCAGCGCACGAGCTCAGTCAAACAGTTTGTTTACGGAGCATTTGTGGCATATACAGTATTTATTCGTCCTTCGTTTTATTTGACCCGATTCACTGTCTAGTGTGACATGTGAATGTAGGACTATTTCATCCCCAGAGATGTTAAAGTTTTGAGATGTAGGCTAGGTCTTGGTATTAATATTATGACCTGTTTTGTAGGTCGTGGATTGGATAGGGAGAGTCCTCATGTCATTGATCTAGATTTGAGGTTCACTCTTGTGCATTAGATAAGTTGTTTTCAATATTTCAGATGCCATGGACCCCAGATGTGATCATGTTTGTGTACAATTTCTTGTGTAAAGACCAGATTTATAATGTGAAATATTATAAATGTCTAAAATATTATTTGGGAAGTATT